TCGGCGCCCAGGCAGCGCGCGCAGCAGCCGCACTCGTCGCGCGCGGGGATGCCGGGCGCCGGGCAGCGCGCGGGCGCCGGACAGCGCTCCGGCCGGCACGGACCGCAGTCGGGGCGCCGGCCGCCCGCGCCGAGGAGCCCCAAGCCCAGGGCCGGCGGCAGCAGCAGGAGCAGCAGGAGCACGGGTGAGCGTGCCATCGTCCCGCAAGCGGGACGGCAGGGGCGCCTCTGCTCCGCTCTCCGCACCGCGCTGAGGCGCCGCCACTCCGCCCGCCCCGCGGCCGCTGATTGGCCGGGCCCGCACCGCGGGGCGCCGCACCCGGCCGCCCGGCTTGGGACCTGGGACCGGTGCAGCCGGTGGGCTCCTGGCCGCTCTGCAGGCTGCACCCAAGGGCTCCTCCTGCAGATGCTGGGGCGCCGTCGGGGCAGGAACTTGCCCGGAGCCTCTGTGTAGTCTGTATTGGGCACTGTACACGGTTTCCAGATCCAAGGCCGGCTCCAAATATTATGCTCCTTCATCCTGTCAAAAGGATGCGCTGTTTTACTTGGCATTTTGTATTTTTCCAAAGTTTCATTTTTAAAAAGGAACACATGGTTTAAAATGTCAAAGTTTACAAATGGAGGTAATGATGTCAAAGGGGATTTCTCTTCCACCCAGTGCCCCAGACCAGCTTCAACAGGGCACTGGGTATCAGGTTGTTGGTGTGTCTGTGTCTTTCCAGGAATTTTGTATGCCTGTAAAAGTGTTATCACATAGCTCCCTCTCTTTAAACACACACACACACACACACACACACACACACACACACCACCAGCAGCAGCAGCAGCAGCAGCAGCATGCCCGGTACATTATTCTGTGCTTGGATTCCCCCCATGGTATTTCCTACAGTTTTCCCACTTATTATCATCTTAAAATCAGGCCTCTCGTGCAGCTAGTGGAGCATTGCTTAATTCACTTTCTCCCCTTAATACTACATAAAGTCATGATGCACCTCGTGGTCAGGAGTGATCTGGGTTATAATGAGATGTGGTGATGTATTTGGGATTAGGTTCGGGCTTTTAAACTTCGCACCGCGTTTAATTGCACAAAAACTGCAGTTATCCAACCCTGAGCCTGTGATATCTGGGTGGAGAAAACATTCCAAAGCTTTGAAGATGATTGACATCCATTTCCTCCTTTTTTGGAACTGCCCAAAAGCCTATAGCCCCGTGAACTCTGGCTCCCAGAGAGCCAGTTAACACCGCGGGCAATGCTTGTGGGCCCATGGAATTATGGGGAAAAGTGAGGCTGGATTCTCAGCCAGGAAGGAAGTTTAGGCCTGTCTATTGCCTGGCCAGGGTGAAGGAGGTTTTCTGGAAAAGGTGCTTCCTAAACTGAAACAGACAGGAGGAATTGTCTGGAAGGAGGGCAGAGGGACGGAAGACCAGAGAGAACACCCACAGTGGGGAGCGAGGAGAAAGCTCAGGCCAGCTGCAGAGCTGTGTGGGGGTGTGGAAGCTCAGGAGGCAGGAGGGGACGCTGGAGAGGACCAGACCATCGGCCTTACCTGACCTGCTGGATATGGTGGAATCCAGGCTTGGTGCGGGTAGCATGACTGTCTGACAGGCAGATACTTTAAATGTGGATGGGGAGGGGATAGCATGTCCCCACCATGGCTGGGGCAGAGAATGGTAAGTCTGCAGAAAGCCTTTCCTGCTTCTCCATTCTTCCCTTCAGCATCTTTTCCCTAGGGCAGGGCTCTGCAACCTTTAAGACATAAAGAGCCACTTGGAACCATTTCTGAAGGAAAAAAAAAACCTGGGAGCCGCAAAACCATTGCGACATTTAAGACAAATATAACACTGCATATATTGTTTCTTACCTTAATGCTATATACCGGATCGTGCAGTTAGCTGTCAATCTGAAGAAAAAAAGGACTTTTTCTCTTAACAGTGTAAAATATATTTTTACAAATTAATAGCTAATTAAAATATTTAATTTACCTGCTTAATGGGGTTTTTGCACCTGAACCTCAGTGCACAGTGTCAGCACATCAAGGCTGTAAGACGTTACCTTCATTTTCACACAGGCTTGCAAGTTGTCGGAGCTGCGGTAAAGCTTCAAAAGAGCTGCATGCGGCTCTGGAGCCATAGGTTGCGGACACCTCCCCTAGGGCTTCCACCAAAATGCAAGGTTTGCTGGGCCACCCATGCAAATCGCCATCTTGTGGACAAGCCAGGGATTACAGACCTAGAAATGACGTTCCTAGTTCATTAGTTGGATAAATGTTTTCTAATAATACAAATGAGCCCAAGTGCTGGGATAAGGTGCTCTCGGTCCAGAGGAGAGAAGAGAAATGCATACAGACAGTCACCCCAGCTTCAGTTTGGTTGGCCTTCATTTTAAAGGGGTCCCCCTTCTGGGGCTCTAGAAATGGCCTCTGCAGGGTCTGATCTGCTGCTCCTGTCTGTTCCTGTGCAGCAGCAAGCACCTCAGCTGTGAATCCAGCCTGCCTTCTGGTGCAGTACTCTCGTCCCTCCTTCTCTGTCTTCCATCTGAGGTAAACTGAAAAGCACCAAAAACCCTCCCTGGGGAGGATGCTGTGCTTAAGCCAGGATCTTGGCCGACCTGGGAAGAGGCACAAGATGTGTGACCATCCTCAGGGATTGGCATACTTCTTGGCACATGGGTGCTTTGTAAATGTTGGTGACACGAGTGAGGGCAGGAGAGGAGGATGGCACCGGAGAGGTCAGTCCAGCTCTCCTGTGGACTTATCCAGAGTTGCGTCTAGCCTGGGACCATAAATGGAGGTCCCTTCTCAAAGGTCACTGCATGCCCAGCTAAGGAATTTGTCTTCGTTCTGCCAGCAGGAGGAGCCAGCCCTGTTTGTGACAGAGAAGGAACAGGATGGGAATACAGGCTAGTTTCATTGTTTTTTTCAAAGAGAGAAAAATGTTCTTAGTCAAAGGTCATACCCACCCCAGAAAGCTAACAATATCACTAGCAAAGAAATTGCACTAGGTCTTCCATATATCTTGGCTACTTTGTTTCTGAGCTTAATAATTAAGCCATAGATTTACAGAATAAATAGAGGCAGTCCTGTGATAAGCTCCCAACACTTGAGAGACAAGCATAGCCTTTGCAATGGACTCCTGAATTTCCTTCCATCTCATGTCACCGGAACTTTGAACCCTGCTGAACACAGGGTTAAACACAGTAACCCTTCCTAACCTGGGTTCAGGTGTAGTCAGTCATTTCTTCCCACACTCTTTGCCGACTGCCTGCAGCATCATTACCTGGCTCCTGGAAAGAGGTCTCTAGTGGAGTGCTCTAGGGCTCTGTTCTATTCAGTTGTTGTTGTTGTTTCTTTTATCAATAACCTGGATGAGTTCCACAAAAGTGCTCAAATGCCCCAAAGCCTTAAAAAGGAATCAATGCACATTGGATAGGAGAGCCAATATTCAAAATCGCTTGCATAGGTTGGAGTGGTAGAGACAAAGCAAATGTTGACCTAGTCTCCGGATCCATGTAAGTTCTACGTTTTGATTCAACACCAAACAGAAAGTATGGGAGAGGGAAAATGAAATCTGTTACACAGGCGTGACTTCAGGTTCAGAAGGGGTCATGTCTGCAGCATGGTCACCCCTTAGAAATGGGTCTTTATTACTAGCGATGGAATTTTCCTGAACTTAAACCTGTAGACGTGTTTACAGGAAACCAGTGGAGAGTATGCTGGGAAAGAGGGTGAAAACAACTTCTTGGGAGGCTTGGATTGGAGTGCTAGAGTCGGGAGTGCAGAGTATGGGTGATGGTCGGCAGGTCTGAGCTGTGCTGCATGGAGGTGTTTGTATGCACTGAGTTTGGAGCCTAGAAGCTGCAAGACCATTAGAGAGCGCTTACCATAGTCTAGACAGGAGGTGCAGAGGGCTGGATCTGGGGCAGAAGCAGTGTGAATGGAGAATACAGCGCATTGATTAGGAGAAAAACTAGGTGCTATAGCCAACTCCAAAGTGTATAATGGTTCTAGCATAGAATTTTATTGCTTATTCGTGTAAAATCTAAAACAGCTATTCCCATTCTCCTGCAGTGTTGATTCAGGGACCCAGGCTCCTTCCAGGTTGTGGCTCCACCATTCTGAGTGCCAACTCCATGCTGGCAGAAGGAAAAAGAGGAAGTGAACTAGACCTACCCACGTCCTGAACCCTCTGGCACAAATGGATGGATACGAATCATCAGGAGGCTTAATGATCGCAGAAGGGGAGGAGCCACAGACAACTAATGGGTGACAAAAGTGTGGTGGGGCCATTGACTGCCTTAGGAGCTGATGGATGCAGTGAGTACCTGGAGTCTTGTTGCCGTTTGGTCCCGGAAGATCATTTGGAAACAGGGTGGGCATTTAGAATCCCTGGGCAATTATGGCAACTTAGAAATCTTATCACATTCTCCCCCACATCTGTGGGATCCATTTTTAAGTTGCCTCCAACCCTTTCTCCCAGCAAATGGACAGCCTTGTTTCCAAGGAGAACCTTAAAATCAGTGGGTGGTTCCAGTTGCCTAGTTTATGCCTTGAGGCACAGTCCTACTTGATTGCTGGTAATAATTTTTACAGCCCGCTAGAGGCCTCAGCTGGGCAAAGCTCTGGTAGCTCAGCGGGCCAGCATACGGCAGGGGCCTACAAGAGACAACCTGGGCCCAGGAGAGAGGAAGCAGGAGGGAGGTTCCCGTTGACTTGGTCTGAGAAGGGGAGGAAAAGTGGATCCCACAGAAGTGGATCCAGCGGTGTTCTGAAACAAGGAAGAAGGCTACCCACTTGTTTTGATTTCTCTGGTAAATGTTTGACTGGGTGTTTGCCTTTTCTGGGAGGGTTTTTTTTTTTTTTTTTTTTTTTTTTTTTTGGCGCTGTGAAGAGAACTGGGTGGAACACCAGACGGTCAGTTGTAACCAAGAGTCTGGAGAAGCTCTAAGGACAGCCTGAGAAGCAGGGCGCTCCCTGGGGCTGCGGGTGGCGCTTTCCCACCGAGATGATGTCCACAACCGAGAGGTGAGTTCCTAGACAAGGTGTCGGACAAGTCACGCTGGACACCCGAGTGTCCTGGCAGCTTCCTCCTCTGATGTTGGTGACGCATGGAGATCGGGAGAAAGGCCTGGTTTCGCTAGTGTGTAAGCAGGCTGGCACAGAGGAGGGAATCATGGATAGGGTTCTTGGGTGAGTGAACAGATTTCATTCATCTTCACTTTGGAGCCACCGAGTGGCGTGCGAAGAGCCCAGGCGTGGAGTTAGAGGACCCAGGTTTGAATCCTGGCTGTTTGAATCTGCAATTTCTGGCAAATCTCAATAAATCGAGAGTGATAACCCCCCACAGCTTTGTGGAGATCAGTGAGAACAGAATGTGGCAGGGCTTTGAGAGGCGCCAAGGCCTGCCCAGATGTCAGGAATGAAGAGTTCTCATTCAACCATGCATATGTCTGAGATCTAAGAACGGAAAAGACTACTCCAGATGTACACAGACTAGAACCTCCGCTCTTCGGGGTGATAATGTATCTGTTTAGATTGTCAGGGGGATGCTGGGGAAGGCAGAGGGAGAAAAGGAGGCATGAGAACACAGGCAGGCATCCTGAGAGTCAGTTTGAGTTGGAGATCCCAGGGGTCGCAGGCACAGGCAGGAGAGAGGGAGAGCAGTGCATGGAAAAGGACACGTGACAGGGAAACAGACTAGAGATTGGCTTGAAGGATGGGGACCAAGAGCAGGGAGTCAGCTCTTGGTCCCCCTCCAGTGGGTTGGGGCAAGAACTAGAAAGGCCAAGGGAATGGATCTCTTTCTCTTCCCTCTCCAGCTGGGTTCCTTGGGCTCAGAGGGACCAGGGGAGTCATGTGCTGGAATATGGACTCTTAGGAAGTTGGTCAGAGGGATGGGAATGGGCTGGAGAGGGGCAATGCTGGAGGTGGGAGACCTGGCAGGAGGTACTGCAAAGTCCAGGCAAAGATGACAGTGGCCTGGACTAAGCAGGGGGCTGCAGGGACCAGGATGTATCGAAAGGCCAATTGAATTCGGTAGTGACTGGAGAGGCTGAACTGACAGGGCTTATATGGGAGTGACTTGGAGAGGAAGGAGCTGAGGATGACTCTGAGTCTTTGGCTCAGACTAAAGGGTGGATGATGGTGCCATTCCTGAGGTGAGGACCCCCAGAGGAGGAGCAGGTTGGAGGGGTGTCCAGTTGGGACATGTTGGACTGGAGTACCGTGGGACATCCAAAAGGAGATGGCCAGAAGGCAGTCAACTGGCTTCATGGTCTGGACTCAGGAAAGTGTGGGCTGGACCCCAAGAACTTGGCCCGCCTGAGGTGCCTGTGTGGCCTGGAGCCCCTGACATTTATTTGAAGTCAGCACCATGCTCCCCACGCATCCCTCTCAGGACCTTCTCTCCATCTCTCCTTCTCTCCACGGTTATCTCCTTCTCCTTCTCTCCACGGTTATCTCCTTGGACATGGGCTAGCTGGCCAGGGCCCTTCTCTCAGGGTGGGGCTCAGGCCTGAGCATGTTGTTCAGATTTGTCTGCCCAGTGAGGCTAAGGGGTCCCTGCCTTCTCCAAGGACCACAGACACAGGAACCCTGTTCAATGTCTTAATGTAATTTTGTGTGTGAAAATGTTTCCTGTGCAGAAAATATAACGAGGGTGGTTCAAATGATAGCTCTGCTGCTTTCTAGCTGAGTGACTTTGGGCATTTACTTCTTTCTCTCTTAGCCTCAGTTTTCTCATCCATGAAGTGGGAATAATAGTCCACACCGCCTAAGCTGTGAAAGGATTAAGTGAGACGATAACCATAAAGGCCTTAGTTCAACGTCTAGCCTGTGTGAAACCTTTACTACGTGATAGTTATTATTATTATTTTATTAAGTGAAAAGAAATGAAAACAAATGTTGCTTTATCGGACAGGTAAGCATGGGAGGGAGTAGAAAAGTGGCTGTCTTCTGGTCATCTTCTTTTCAGTTACCTTTTTCTTTCATGTCGCTCTCTCCAGACTTTTCAGACATGTGTGAAAGCACCTGAAACACAGTCTCTACAGAAGGGCGCCTCCCTGGAGCCGACCTTTCCGAGCCATACCGTAAGCTCAGAATGACTGGGCAAGGTCAGGGCACAGGAGAATAAACAGAGATCTGGGCACAGAGGGGGAAACAGGGAGGTGCTGGGAGAAAATGGAATAAAGACAGGCCAGATACGAAAGGCCAATGGATACCTAATCTCTAATCCTATTGGCTTAAGTTAGTGCCTGAGTGTGAGTCCCTCTGTGGGCCCTGACAGCCTCTCTCTGACCTTGCGCTGAGTATCCCTCAAGGCCTAGAGAAGGAGGATGCTGAGTCAGCTATTATATAAAGCACCTTTCTTTCCCGCGGTGCCTGTATCTTGGCTAGAGGAAGGTCCCACAGCTGGGCCCCAGTGGAGAGCTCTGTTCCGACCTGGCCACACTGGTTCTGTTTCTCTGAGATGGTTAACCAGCTAGGTCTGGTGGAGCCCGGGCACCCAGCCAGGGTATCCAGCTCGTTGGCACAGTGGCTCTTGTGTTTCTTGAAAACACTGGTGCCACCCGAGGAGGGCACCCCAGAGGCTGCTAGGGCCAAGCTGCTGCTTGCAGTCCCCACTGCCACCTTGTGAAACAGTGTGTGTGGGAGGTAGTTGTAGGGAAGGTGGGAACAGGCCCGAGAACCAGCATGCGTTTCAGTTAGAACCAGCATGCATTTCAGTTAACAAAGCACCATTCCTACTCATTCTCCGACGACCTAGGGAAGTGATGGCATCACTCCCATTCTACAGATTCAGCAACCGAGGCTTCAGGAGGAGAAATGGTTCACCCAGGATCTCAAGGTGTCTACCTCCAAATCCCAGGCTTTTTCCCTCCAGTCCCACCTGAGGACCCACACAAGCATAGTTTATCCCGAGACACGCCCTCTGAGGAGGGCACCGACCCAGAGCTGACCTTTCCTACCTGCACAGCCAGGTCAAAATGAATGCAAGAAGTTGAGGCAAAGAAGAAAACAGAGATTTGGACACACAGAGAGAAGAGAGTCTCTGGAAGAAAATAGAAGCGTGTCTTTCACTGTAGGACTTTTCCCTGATTCTCAGAGTCACAGGAAGTGACAGATGGGAGACAAACCAACAGGCAATTAGAGAGCGAGGTAGACAGAGATGCAGGTGACTCCCCGGGGAGACTGTCAGAGGCAGGCCTGGGGCGATGGAGGGGGATGGGAGAGGGGGGTGGGCCAGCGACACTGTCGGCACAGTGGCAGGTAGCCTGTGTGCTTTGTGTGATAGTCACAGACTTAATTTTATTTTATTTAAGACACATAAACTTCCTTTTAGGAAAGTGTGCAAGCTGATACACAAGAAGAGAGACTAGTGTAAAGAGCGCCCATACTCTCATCACCCAGCTCCAACAATTGTCAACGCACACGGCCATCTTATTTTGTTGGTTCTCCCACCTGCTCCCCCTCCTCCAGACAGCCTGTCATCTCACCATGGATTTCACTCACAAAAAGAAGTTTACTCCCTCCCCCTTCCCCCTGTGGAGTTTACTATGCTGTGCACAAATGACCTGTCACACATTTACCCTTAACTCTTCACAAGTCCCTGCGATTCTCTCATCTTTGTCCCAGGAGAGCTCAGACTGCCCTGGCCACAGGGACAGAAAATTAGGTTGACAAGACATAGAATGTGACAGTTGGGAATTACATGATCATCCCCATTGCCAGAGTTTAAGTCCTGGCTCCCCAACTCACCCGCTGGGTAAGCTTGGACAAATTTCCTGATCTCTTGAGGCCTCCGTTTCCTCACCTGTGAAATGGGATGATAACAGTACCTCTCTCTCAGGGCTGCTGTGAGGGTGACGTTAGTAAATAATAAAAGGATAACCCTTGGAGGATAAGCTTGGTGCACAGACAGCCCTGGAGAAATGTTAGCTCTCCATCCATCCATTTAGGGAACATGTCAGTGTTAGGAGCTGGGCCCGTGGAGATGAATGCCCTCGAGAAGCTCCCCATCCATTGGGGATACAGACCCATAAAAAAGACATTTCTAAATGGTGGGCTAAATCCCAAGCAGTCCAACTTCGCAATTAACAACTGACTACATTGAGACCCATGAGTCCCTGGACTTCAGGGGCCACGGCACTTAGCACCAGGGCTGGGGTAAACTCCGCTGGTTTTCCTGGCTAGGCCTCTTTCCCTGAGGCCTCAGAGGAGGCTGGCGGCTGGCAGGGCAGAGGGACCATTCTGGGCAAGGGTGCCATGCTTTGAGCCACCCTGCTAGCAGCATGGAAGGGGAAGGCTGGTCACAGGGCCAGGCGTGGGCAGCAGCCCTGGCTACTGGTTAACCAGGCAAAGGACTTCAGTCCACTGTGTGGTCAGGAGTACAGGGTAGGGGCGCTCCTGACATCCCACACCTAGCAGGAGGCCAGGGATGCCAGGCCGGCTGCCCACAATATGCACTTGATTGAGGCTTGGGGTGGGGCCCTCAGCCTGGAGAATGGCGGAGACCTCCAGAAGACAGAGAAGCAAGCAGTCTGGGGTCTGAGGAGTTAGAGGAATACAGCCGGTGAGAGTCTCCTTTTTTTTGGTCAGAGCTATTCAAAAGCAGGCAGGGGATTGAGAATGAGGATCAATACTGAACATTGAGGCTGTTTTCAGGGAGAAAGAAAGTAAAATGATCTTCACTCATTCCACCACTTCACAACCTGGGGTCCTACAGTTTTATAATTTTTCTCCATTTATCAGCATATCATAAACACTTTTCCAAGGCATCACCACTTGAAAGTGGACCTTCTACATTTGGGGGTGCTGGTTTGCTGCTGCCCAGCAGGTGTTATCCACCCCCGCAACAGACCTGCCCCGCCAGCCCTGGTCCCACAAGGTCTCAGAGACCAAGACAGTGGTCTCCATGGCTTTCTGAATAGGGTTGACTTGGGTGCATGCTTCATGTGTCCACTGAAGTGGCTGCTGGAGCAGAAGCGTGGCTGGTGGTTCCAGCCTCCTTGACTCGGGAGCCACGGTTTGCTGCTCTGTTGACTGAGTTTGCTGACCACTGGGATAGGGGCTTAATCACAAGGAACAACAACAGCCTATACTTATTGGAATCGAGAGTCTAGGTCAGTGGTCAGCAAACTCATTAGTCAACAGAATGGCAAACCCCGGCTCACGAGCCACAGTGTGCCGACCACTGCCCTGGGATGTTAGCTTTGGAGGGGCGGCAGCTGCTGCCAGTATCAAGGCCTCTTTCAGTGCAGAGGCGTGGGATGTACCCTAGATGGGGTCCCTCAGGAGCTGGCCCTCTGGAAGCTGGAGCTCCTAGTCCCTCCCAGGTGCCACCTGTGATCTGGGCGCTGCTTCTCTCTGAGTGACCCATATGTATTACTCCCGGAGATCTAAACACCCCTGTCCCACTGGTCAACCGGGGTGGGAGGATGCTTGGGTACCTGAGAAATCCCAGGTCATCATTCTGTGGTCAGTGGGCAGCCCCATCCTGCTTCAGCTCCTGCACTCCTTCTCCACTGGCCCCACAGCCTGGACCGTGTCTGCTGATGCGTCTTCTCTTTGGTTTGGTCCCAATCTCTCTCCACTGCTCAGAGTCTGCAAGATTTTCTGGTAGATTTTCTTCTTGCTTTCAAATATGGCCATATTGTCTTTCTTTAAAAAAAAAAAAATCACATCTGATGGTTTTGTATGGGAAGGGGAGACTGATGTATGTGCTCAGTTGACCTTCCTGAAAGCCAGAGTCTGTGCTTTACAGTTCTATCGCACTGCTGACAGCTTAAGCTCTTCCCAACCCCCTCCACTTCTGGGATGTTTCAGACTCATCGTTAGACAAAACCAGGGAACACTGGAATTTTAAAGAATTATGGGGCAATGTGTCATGCTCAAGGGCTCCCCAGCGGAGTGCTCTCTCTCCCCTGAGACTTCTGAGGGAAAAGTAGGAGCTGGCCAGGGAGAAAGCACAGGAGATGGCTGGATGCTGGATGGATGCTGCGGGGCTAGGGAACAGAGTGAGCAGAGACCTGGTGGTGTGCGAGCATGCAGAGCTGGTGCGGTGGAAGTCTGAGCAGCACGGGCAAGTGTGTGAGAGCCCCAGAAAGGAGGTCCCTTTGAGGAGACGCCACATGTGACTGTCTGTCACATGTTTCAGACGTGTGACCCAGCAGCCCTGGCCTGCAGACTGAAGCCTGGGGGGACAGAGTCCACACTCTGTTGTCCACATAACCGCTGTCCTGCCCTGAGGGCCCAGCCTCGGATCAGAAGCGAGCTGAAGCTTCTTGACCTCTGTTTATGAAAAACTGTGTCCAAAGGCTGGTTTCCTGCAAAGTTACGGAAACTTAAGTCTCAGGGCTCCTCGGGGGCCTTCCAGGGCTGCTGGAGGGTGGGGGCACCTTAATTCAGTGTTTACATGGAGATATGTTTTCCTTAAAATGTGGAGAAAGTAAGGTATTTTGTAGTTTCATTTGAAAAGGATGTCCAAATGATATAAGCGTTTGGCCCTTTAGGACCTGAATCTGTCCCTGACTGTGTCATCAAGAAAGGAAGGAGTTAGGCCCAGTGGGCAGGGCAGTTGGGTAGATGATCAGGCTGGAGAAAGAAATCAGGGAAAAAGGTTAATCCACTCAGGGAAGGTACGTCACAGATGAACAGTACTGGCTCTGAGAAAGCAAAATTTAAAAAGATCAGATGATCTTAGTGGACTGCAAGCCAAATGCCCGCAGCAGTGACCGATGATATGAATGTGTTTTTTTTGGCCATTTTCCAGGATAAGGCAGTTGAATGACACCTGTGCTGGCTTGGTGGACATGGAACTCTTTCTCCATTACTCCCTCATCCCATCAGTAAGTAAAGCAGGAGAGGGCTGTGGAAGGGACGGAGGAGGAACTGGGCTGCTCGCCTACACAGGCTCCCAAGGGGGCCTGAGGAGGTCAGCAGATTTTTGGACTTGCTCTCCTACGTTACGCACTAAAAACACAGGCAGAAGAAGGCTTTTAAGGGTGTAGAGTTGGAGATCCTGGCTTTTCAGGGAAGCAGTGATGGAGCTGGGTTCTGTTGGGAGATGCAAGCGACAGCATGTCAGGCAGAAGGAAGGGCACGTGCAAAGGCTCTCTGTGTGTGTATGGGTTGTGGGGGAGGGGGAAGGATTGGAGTGTGAGTAATTGGGAGGGCTGGTGTGGCTGGAGTGAATTGAGGTGGAGCTATCCAGGAAGGTGGGCAGGGCCAGGCCAGGAGGAGCCCTGTGGGGCTCTGTGCAAAGGAGTTTTGTCTTTATTTTAAGTACAATGGGAAGTAATTAGAGTGTTTCTAGCATGAGGGCGGTGTGGTCAGATTTATGTTTTGAAATGATCACTCTGGTTGCAATGTTGGGATCATGTTGGAGGCGGGCCAGAAGGTGACAGGAAGACCAGTTAGGAGGTGGTTGTGGGGGTTCAGGTGAGAAGCAATTTTACCTCACCCTAGATGATTGTGATTAACTCAAGACATTTGGGAGTAAAAGCAATAGGGCTTGGTAATGGATTGGATAGAGAGGTTAAGGAGAGGGCAATGTTGAGGACGACTCCGGTTTCTAACTTGCACAGCTGGGAGGATGGTGGTGTCTGCCATTTTCTAGTTAAGGAACATATGAAGAGGTCTAGGTTTGGGGTGGATGAAGGAATAGGGCAGCGAGGAAAATCACGAATTTCTTATAAGATGTACTGGATTCAAGAAGCTTTCAAAAAGAAATGCCAACGGGGGGGGGGGGGGGAGGGAGGAGATATATCTACTACTATGTGTAATATTTTAAACAATAAAATAACAATTTTTAAAAAGAAAAAAGAAATGCCAACTGTGTAGTTGGAACCTTTATGGAACTCAAGGATAAGTCTGGGCCAAAGATGAAGTTTGTGAGTCTCCTGTGTGTTGGTGGTCATGGACATGGATGAGGTTGCTGAGGAAGAGAGGACTGGGTAATAAGAAGAGTGGTCCTTGGACTGAACCAGGAGGAATTCCAAATCTCATGGGTGGATAAAGAGTGATCCGACAATGGAGCCTGAGACGTAATGGAGAAAGCCCAGGAAAGCATGGAAGACAGGGAAGAATGGCTCTAGGAGGAGAAGGTGGAAGCATGCTGCTGGGAGGTCAAGCCAGAGTTGAGCTTCAAGTTCACATCGTATAAAACAACGAGATGGTAATTAGTGATGTTAGCCAACGCTGTTTCGGTGGAGTGATGGGGGCAGAAGCCAGGTCAGGAGATTGAAGAGCAAAGTGAGAGGTAAAGAAATGGAGTCAGCAAGTGTAGACAAGTCTTAAGAAGTGTCTTAGTAGAAAGGAAGAAGAAAGGGCCTCAAATATGTGAGAAAGTGACGGAATCTGCAGCGGGGAAAACAAGGGAGGGTTTGCAACCTGACAGTTATTTTTCCCTTTTTACAGATAAGGAAACGGAGATTCGGGGAAGTTAAGTGTCATAACCAGTATATGAGAGAGGCTAGATGTGAGCTCACGTCTGTTCAGGGCAACCCAAAGGAAAGCTCATTATAAAACATTCTGGAAGCTCCAGGGTGCGTGCACCACTCGGTGCCCCTGGCGTTTGAACAGAATACACATTCTGAGGGCTCTGCTCACCCATGCGTGTCCTTCAGAGCTGACACCAAGGCCATGCCCAGGATGGATATTCCCACTGACCCTCTCATCTTTCCCCCCTGTAGCTTCTCATCATTTTGGTCTTGTCCTTTCTCCAAAGACGGGAGCACTGCAAACAGAGAGATGACACTTCTTACCTCCTGGGGAACCACTTTGGAATTATCATGTGAGTAGAGCCAGGGCTGACCACTGCAGCTTCTGGTATCAGTGACTGGGGCCAACACCCATTGTCAGGCCAGGATAACTCCCAGGTACCTCCCCCACCGACCTCTGCCTCCCTGCGGTCAGCCTTGCCCCAACCCAAACCAAACCCTGAGAGTTCAGAATTGACTTCCACGCCATTGTATCCTAGCATCCAAGGCTGCCCAGATGTGCTTACTAGGAAAACATCTCAAGGAGGCTCAGATCTCCATGGGAAAGGCCTTCCTACAGTCAGCACTATGGCTACACCGGGAAGCAGGAGCGAGAGAGTTCTCTGCCCCTGAGGACAGCATGCTTTCTTGTTGGGATGGCACCATGAGTCCTGCACCAGGAGAGCCCACTGGACCAGGCACTTTCATAGATGAAACTCATCCCATTTTGCTTGTTGTCATGGCTACTTGTATCCTTGCATGTATACTCCTAGACAAGGGAAAAATTTTGTCTTCCTGAGATAAAACAAAAAAACTCATATACTTACATGCATGGCCCATGGACACAGACAATAGTGTGGTGAATGCAGGGCAGGGAGGGGGCATGTTAGACGCTGGGTGGAGGGAGTAGAAAGGGGGGAAAAAGGAGACATCTGTAATAATACTGTCAACAATAAAAAACATTTAAAAAAAGAATTTTATCTTCCTCACTTCAGTCCCCTGAATCCCTGCCTCGCCCCAGAAGTGGCACAGAGGGCTCAAGAAAATGTCATTTAAAATGAATAGTCCACTCCCCAATAGTTCATCCCTCAAGGTGGGATTGGGACTTTGGAGATGAATATGGGATGTCTCAGAGCCACCTTCCGGCCCCATGAACTGTTTCTCTTGTTCACAGACCTCTGGACTTCGTGGGCACCTTTAGCAACCGATGGTCTTATGGAATTGCCTTCGGAGCCACAGCCAATAATGTCATGTTCCTGTTCTCAGAAGGCTCCCAGCTCCTGCGGATCCCGCAGTGGGCCCGAGGTACCAGGACCGACTCATAACTGCTGGGAGTTTAACCCTGGAAATGCTTGCTCTCAGGGCCAGCATGCAGGGATTCTCTGGGGTCAGAGGGTAAGCTCTGCGAGTGAACTCAGTGTTTTTTCCCAGCCTGCTGCCTGTCCAACATCAGTGCCTGGCCCACAGAGTCTCAAAGCTTGTGTGGGGGGCGTTCTCCTAGTTAGAAGCAGAGGTTGTTTAGACAGAGTGGAGCAAACGCTCAGAAAGGAAGTTCTCCACCACATACCCTAAAGAAATCTCTCCTGAGCCATAGTCCTGGCTGCCTTCTTACTGTCCATAAGCCTTCAGAGACTTCCTCAAAGAGCAGATCTTCTTTGGCTGTTGGTCTGGGGCCTCTTCGTTCTCCATGCCTCATGCTCCCCCTGAAGTGGCAACTTTAATCTACAGGTTCCACCATCCCTAATATGACAACTTTCAAACCTCTCTGTCCAACCAGTTTTCTCCCAGTGATTCTTGTTTGTTTGTTCATTTATGTGGTCTGTTTCCACCCACTGTACGTACTGTGAGCTAATCAAGGGTAGGGAGCAAGTCTTCTCCATCTCAACACTTAGCCCAGGGCCTGGCATGGAAGAGGTACCAGGAGGGTCAGCTGCGTGAATGAATGAAAGACATTCCTGCATTCTTCCTTGTGCTAAGCTGGGGCTCGTCCACTCATCTCCTTGGGTCCTGAGGTCCATGACTGCAAGTCAGCACAACGCCCTTCCCTTCCCGGGGACGCCCCTGAGTCCGTGAGAAGAGGCCCTCACAGCATCTCTGGTCCTGTCTTTCCCAGCCTTTGTGCTTCTGATTGGAGGCTTCGAAGTCGGCCTGTCCCACTTCCCCTTCTTTGCCTGCCTCTCATCAGAGTTCCGGCTGGTCAGCTCCATCCTGGGCTTCCTCTACTCTCTGATCTGGTAAGACAGACTCTGCCTGCCTGCCCTCCCACAATTCCTTAGGCTGTTGCTGAACACTGGACCCAGGGCTGGCGGTGACCTCAGAGCTCTCCTTGGGAGGGTACCTTTGTTCAGAACTTAGGCCCAGGGCAGGTGGAGCGACTGGCCCACAGTCCCACTGTCAGGCCAGTGTTCTGTCTGCTTCGGAAGCAGCCATTCATGATTCACAAACTCCCAGTATTCAGAGATGTAGAAAAATTCATTTCCATAAACTGCCGAGGGTCCCCTGGTGACAGCAGGAGTCTCGTGTGGATGCGGCTTCCCTGTGCTGTGGCTTCCCTGGAGAAAGTGCCTGTGCCTCAGTCTCTCCCCTGTCTCTCCCCCTGCCCCCACAACCAGTCTGTGGCATGTGTGCAGGTTATATAGAATGCCTGCATTTCTTCATGCATCCTCTTACTCATTCAGCAAACTGGACGAGCCAGAGAACATACTGGAAAACAAGACAAGCCCCTGGTGATCACGTGTTCTGGCCGCTTTGGCTACGTGTTTCTCTTCCCTGTGAGGATTATCGTCCTCCACCCGGCCCTGTGAGAGACATGTGCTCGTCCTTTGTGGACTGTCGCCTCCACAGCGGGAGCTTCCTGACCCTTCGGGCAGCTCTGTGCCCTCAGCACCAGCCTGGCCCCAGGAAATGTTTGCTCACTGAATAACCCCATGGGCAGTTCTGCTCTCTAGTCCGGATAGGCTCATTTCTTCATCCACAGCTCCTTTATGGGGCCTGCCTCCCTCTTGACATTTTGAGGGGTTCTAGGCCCAGTGTCTAAAGCATGCAGGGGACTGACAAGAAACTGGCACGCCAAGGGCTGCAATTCCAGAGTGTATAAGTAGCTTGCTTTTTAAAAAAATTACAAGACAAGCCCTAGCTGGTTTGGCTCAGTATATAGAGTGTCGAAAGGCCCCAGATTCGATTCCAGACAAGGGCACATGCTCAGGTTTCGGGCTCAATCCCCTGTGGGAGGCATGCAGGAGGAAGCCAATCAGTGATTCTCTCATCATTAATGTTCCTATCTCTCTCTCTCCCTCTCTTTTCCTCTCTGAAATCAATTTAAAAAATATTTTTTTAAAAATTACAAGACAGGATATTCAGTGTTAAATGAGGAGTAGCTTCTTAGCCTATGACAGACTCTTGGACCAGGAGAGGACTGGGTGGCAGTGGTCACCCAGCAGCTTGGACACCATGGGAGTAAGACCCGAGCTTGAACAGGACCAGGAATGTGTGTTCCGCAGGAGCAAAGCTTTGAGGCTCATTCCTCAGGGTGGTGTTTACAGGCAGACAGAGCCTCAGCCCTGGGTCCCGGTGCCGGCTCTGGTGTGACTCTGCACAAATCCCTTCCCATCTCTAGGCTTCCGTGTCCCCACCGGAGTGAAGGGGAGGCAGGAGAGATCGCTCAAGGTCTTCCTGCTCTGCCGCTGAGGGTTCTGAGATTGTGTCAGAATTGAGGGCATTAGATGAAATTTGTTGCATGTTCTCAGGCACAAGCAGGGTGCCTGATCTGGGTAGGGCATACACGGAGGCCTGGAACCCAGCCCTGTCAGGGAGGTAACTTCAGGCTGGGGGATCTGGGCTGTTGTCACAGGGGCTATGCTGGCAGTACCCCAAGTCCTGCTTCTCTCCTGCAGGTTTGTTGTCACCATTCTTCACATCACACAGTGTCCCCATGGGCAGGTGAGTCCCCACTGAACTCTGTTCAGGGTGTTCATTCCTGTCACCATGGCCAACTTCCTGTGTGACTTTGAACAAGCTTCTGTCATTCTCTGGGCCTCCGATTTCTCCTGTGTACAAAAGGGAGTGGAACCATTCATGATGCTTCCATTGTATAGTATCTGACGTTCATCAAGGTACTGCTTCAGAGAGAGATTCTCTCAGTTAATGCCCACAGCAGCCCCTCAAGGTGGGGAAGCTCTCAACAAACCTGCTTTATAGGTGAGAAGTCTGAGGTCCTGTTTTATAGGCGAGGACTCTGAGGGACATGGAGTAACTCTTAAGAAGCAGCATATCTGGGCATTGAGACCAAGAATGGCTGAATCTGGGCTCATTTCTTTACTCCTTCATGTAGCTTCAGTTTCCCTGTCTATTAATGGGAGACTGATTCAAGCTGTTCATCTGTTTAGCCCCATACCCCAAGAAAAGGAGCAAGGTCTCTCTCTCTCTCTCTCTCTCTCTCTCTCTCTCTCTCTCTCTCTCTCTCTCTCTCTCTCTCCCCTCACACTTTCTCTCTTCTTCTCTTCCAAAAGGAGCATTTAACACCTCATCTGAACAAATCCCTTTGTTTGAAGTAAAATGGGGGTGTGGACTCATATCCAGGGCTACGGACTCCAAGTCCACTGCTCATTCCAATGACGTGGGGCTGGGGGAGCAGGCATCCAAGCTTTGAGAGAGGGCTTTGGAGGGAGCAGGCTGGAGCAGGCAGGTTCCTGTCCACAGCTTCACCAGCGGCCTGGCCCTGCCCCATCTCGATCCAGTGACCCGTGGTCTGCTTTGTTGCAGTTTTTGGGGAGGTATGAGACCGTCATATTCTACTGGCCCTCGCTGCTGTGCCTGTCCTTCCTGCTGGGCCGATTCCTGTACATGTTCGTCAAGTCTCTTAGGATCTACCTCGGCTGGGAGCTGCAGATGGTGAGTACCAAGTATAAGCATTGCATGCATCCTGACAGGTTTGGTCTTCACAACAGTCCGTGCGGGAGGTCCTATTATCCCTCTCCCTATTCTGTAGCAGGCAACTTGGACCCAAAGAAGTACGTTGTGTTGCCCAGGATCACGTATCTAGTCTGTGGCAGAGCCAGGAAAGGACCCCAGTTTGGTTGTTGAGACTTTTTCTTAACCACTGTTCTTTTTCTGATTCCCGAAGGCCGTGGTCGGCAAACTGCAGCTCACGAGCCACATGCAGCTCTTTGGCCCCTTGAGTGTGGCTTTTCCACAAAATAGCACGGCCTGGGTGAGTCTGTTTTGAAGAAGTGGCATTAAAATAAGTTTAAGTTTAAAAAATCTGGCTCTCAAAAGAAATTTCAATTGTTGTACTGTTGATATTTGGTTCTGTTGACTAATGAGTTTGCCGACCACTGCTTTAAGGTATGAAATTAGGCTCTTTATTTGAGACCTTTCTTTTTCTTCATGTAGACATTTATACTATAAACTTTCCTCTTATAACTGCTTTGGCTGCATCCCATAAGTTGTGGTTTGTTGTAGTTCCATTTTCATTTATTTTTAAGATATTTTTTATTTCCCTTTTTGATTTTTTCTTTGGTCAGGAATCTATTATTTAACTTCTATATATTTGTGAGTTTTCCAGTTTTCTTTCTGTTACTGATGTCTCACTTTAGGTCATTGTGGTCAGAAAAGATCCTGGATACTTAAACTTGTTAAGGCTTGTTTTGTGGCGTAACCTGGAGACTGGGCCCTGTGTTCTTGAGAAGAATATACCTTCTGCTGCTATTAGACAGAATGTTCTGTGTGGGTTTATTTGGTCTATTTGATGTATAGTGCTGTTCAAGTAAGCTGTTTCCTTATTTATTTTCTTTCTGGGTTATCAATTGTTGAAAGTGGGGTGTTGCGGTTTCCTACTATTATTAAGTTGCTGTATATTTATCGCTTTAGTTTTATTAATAATTACTTTATATACTTAGGTGCTGTGATGTTGGATGCATATATCTTTACAATTGTTATATTCTCTTGAGGAATTGACCCTTTTATCATTATATAATGATTTTTTTTTTGTCTCTTATAACAGTGTTGACTTAAAGTCTGTTTTGTCTCATATAAATATAACCACCTCTGCCCTGTTTTGATTACCACATGTATGAAATATCTTCTTTCCATCCCTTACTCTCAGCCCATGTATGTCCTTAAAGCTAAAGTGAGTCCCCTATAGGTAGCATATATTTGTGTGAGGTAGTGGTGCATTTTTGTGTTTTTGGTTTTTTTTTTAGTTCATTTAGCCACTCTATGTCTTTTGACTTGGAGAATTGAATCCATTTACAGTTAAAGAAATTGATAGGTAAAGACTTAAAATTGTCATTTTGTTAGTTTTGTAATTCTTCTCTTCTTGCTTTTTTGGTGATGTGATATGTGTGGATCTTTTTATTGTGGCATGCTTTGATTCCTTTTTCTTTATCATTTGTTTGTATAAAACAGGTTTTTCTTTGTGATTATATTCAGCTTATATAAAACATCTTACAATTATAACAGTTTATTTTAAGTTGATAACAACTTACTTTAATTGCATAGAAAAGCTCTACACCTTTACTCTTTCCCTCATGGGAGAATTTGCAGGCCAAGGCGAGGGTCTCTCTATGCACTGAGCTGTGCACACCTTGAGGAGGATGACATTGTTGAAGTGAAAATTCTTCTTACCTCCTCAATGCATCTCTTCTCAGAGTTTTTGCTTGACTGGAGTTCTGGAACTTCCCAGGTGCACTCATGGGCTTCTACAGAATCACTCAAATTTGTGGGTATTTGTTAAAATAGGTGTATCAGAGTGGCCTGAGGGCTGGAACCCCCTATTCCTCCATCTCATTGATGTCACTCACCAGTCAGAACTCTAATTAGATCCTTTGTACTCTACCTAATATCTGCAATATTTAAGATTTCATCTCATAGCATGTAAAATTTGCATATTCAACATATATAGAATAGATGAGTACTGTGAAAAGCTAATTACACTTAGAGGAAAATATTATTATTACTATTATTATTATTATTATTATTATTATTATTATTGATTTCAGAGAGGAAGGGAGATCAAAACTTCGATGATGAGAGAGAATCATTGATTGGCTGCCTCCTGCAGGCCCCCACTGGGATCAAGCCCATAACCGGGGCATGTGCCCTGACTGGGAATCAAAGTGTGACTTCCTGGTTCATAGGTCGACTTTCAACCACTGAGCCACACTGGACAGGCAGAGAAAACATTTTAAAACATATCAGTAAAGCCCTAACCTGTTTGGCTCAGAGGATAGAATGTCGGCCTGCAGACTCAAGGGTCCCAGGTTTGATTCCAGTCAAGGGCATGTACCTTGGTTGCGGGCACATCCCCAGTGGGGAATGTGCAGGAGGCAGCTGATTGATGTTTGTCTCTCACTGATGTTTCTAACTCTCCATCCCTCTCCCTTTTTCTCTGTAAAAAAAGTAATAAAATATTAAAAAAATAAAACATATCAGTAAAGTTGTGTGTGTTTTTTTAATAAGTAAAAACAATGGCATTTTAAACAGTGTTTGGAACTATGATGGGAAATCACCAAATCTCAGAGAGAAGAAAGACTTCCCAGAACAGTGACTGGTGCAGTCCATAAGCAGAGGAGTCAAGGGAGTCAGGCCACTGGCACTTCATGAAATCAAGTGCCTGGTAAACAGGAGACGGGATCCTGCTCTTCTCTTCATTAAGTGACAGGTGTCTGGGAATGGCTGAATCCAGAAGAGCAAGTGTTACCCAAATTCTCACCCTCTGTGGTGATAGCCCCTCAGAGTGCCCAGCACTCTAACATGAATTTGCGAGTTAAAGCATATTCCTCTCTCTTTTCTCACAGGAAGAAAAGCCTTTCCTGGAAATTCATCAGGCAGAGCACGTCAAGCAGCTCCTGCGGAAGCCCCCTCTGCAGTAAGCCATGGTTTGATTCGTTCAACAGTGGTGTTCCCACCAACAGTGGGGAGCAGTTGGGGGTGCAACTGGGGCTAAATCTCTAGTAGAGGGCATGCAGTAGGCAGCCAATCAGTGACTGTCTCTCATCATTGATGTTTCTCTCTCACTCTTACTCTCTGAAATCAATTAAAAATATATATATTTAAAAGAATTCTGGAGGCTACAATCCATACTGACCCTGGACTGCTCACCATGACACCAAGATCATCTGTTTTTCTGCTTCAGTATTTTAGTGATTTCCATCATAAAAGCTATCTATGGTCCGGGATAGATTCCAGGGCTCCAATCTGGATCAGCTACTATGTCAGCATTTCAGATTGCAGGCAGGAGAAAAGAAGGAAGGGCTATGGGGCCCCTTCTGCAGTGTTGATTCTATCTAACCACCCTCCCCAAAGTCCCTCACTAATTGCCCTGTACTTAGTCTTGGTCACTCTTATCGGTAAGAGAGGTCAGAAACTCTAGCCTTTCAGTTTGGTGAATTGCTGCACCAGACAGAACCCAGTCTCTGTTCTCAAGAATAAGGGGAGAATAGGAACGATAGAATCTACCAGTGTTTTTGCTCTTCACTGAAATTTAAGATAAAGAGGGGTAACGAGATTATTTTTAGAAGAATTAGGCATTTGTTTACCAACCACAACCTGTCTTTTCTTGGTGTTTACTCATTAACAGAGAGAAAAAAAAGTCTTGGTTTCAGAGCAGGATATACGAGTGGGACCCCTGCTTTCAGTTCCCAAGCAGAATGATCGGAACCACTGTGTTGGCTTTCATCTGCCTGTATCTCGTAAGTAGATCTGAGCAACTACTTTTCTACTTTGTAAATGGGGCGGGGCTGGAAAGTTGTTCTTAAAAAGCTGGCTTAAAATTCCATCTCTGTAGATTAAACAATTTTGACTCCAAGGACACTTTTACCCTTGTGGTAAATATTACTAATAAACATAGTCAGATTATTTATGGAAACTTCAATTGCCAATTCTACATGTAAAGAGCTTCTGAAATACCATTCCATCCTAACAACAAATAAAAATCTAATTAAACTGAAAAAAAAAATCAACAACTCTTCTTAGATCCACAGGAAAAATGGGATTATGGGGCAAATCATTGCCCCTAAGTTGAAGAGACAGACAGGTTCATATAGAGAATCACAACAGAATGGATCAGAAACCTCACAGGAATCAGTGCTGAGGTAGGAAAATCTGAACTGTAATTGACACCAACAATCAATTGGAATTTTGGATATTCATCAACTACTTAATCTACAATAGTAGAATACACATTTTCTCAAGACTGCATGGAAAATTCACCAAGATAGACGAAACTTTGGACCATAAAACACATCTTAACAAATGTAAAAGAATGTAAATTACACAATCTTAACAAATGTAAAAGGATATTTAATTCCACCATAAAACACATTTTAACAAATGTAAAAAAAAAAAAAAATACTTAATTTTTGGATCATAAAACACATCTTAACAAATGTAAAAGAATATTTAATTCCATTGTGGTCTGCCTTCAGACCATAGTGGAATTAAACTAGAAATGAATAACAGAAAGATAACTGGAAAATCCCAAAAGAGTGGAAATTAAACAACATATTTCCAAGTAACTATGGATCAAAGAAAAAAATATCTCAAGAGAAGTTAAAAATAAATTTAAAAATGTAATAAACTAAGTGAAAATACACTTAACAAAATTTGTGGCTGGAGGGGGGGCAGCAAAAGCAGTGCTTAGAGGAAAATTTATAACATTGAATGTATATATTAGAAATGAACAAAGATCTACATCCATCTCTAAGCTCCTACCTTAGGAATCTAAAAAGGAAGAGCAAATTAAATACAAAATATGCTGAATAGATATAATAAAAATTAGAGTAGAAACCTGTGAAATTTAAAAAAAAAAAGGAAGTTAATAAAGAAAATCAATGAAATCAGGTCTTAGAAACAGTAAAATCAACAAGCCCCTAGCCAGACACAAAAACGAAGAGAGGACACGTTAGAAATGGAAGAGGGAACATCATTACAGACTTCATGGGCATTAAGAGAATAATAAAGGAGTAGTATAGCAATTGTATGCCCCCAAATTTGATAACCTAAGTGAAATGGACTAGTGCCTTGAAAGATACAATCTGCCACAACTTACACAGAAGAAGTGGATGATCTGGATAGGCCTAAAGTTATTAAAAGACACTGAGTCAGTGAGTAATGGTCTTTAAAACAGAAAGCACCACGCCCAGATGGGCTCACTGGTGAGTTCTAGGAGACATTTTTTTCAGCAGAGTTTAGAAAACCAGCTTCATTGGGGTCTTTTATGCTACACTTGCTACTTAGCCAATAAAAATCTTTTCATTTAAATATAAAATAATTGACAAATAGTCTCAGTGAATTGAAAATAAAAGTGGATAAGCTTGATGTGCTATAATTTTTTAAAAGGACCAAAATTGAAATGTCTTATTTCATTTTGCTATTATTTAACTTTGCTTTCTCAACCAAAAATTTTAAATGTCATAATACAGACTTCAATACTATCCTGTATACATACACACACACACACACTTTTTTGTTATTAATTCTCACCTGAGGATATTTTTTCCCATTGATTTTTTTTTTTTTTTTTTTTTTTGAGAGAGAGAGAGAGAGTGGAAGGGATGGGAGAGAGAAAGAAATATCAATGTAGAGAGACACATTGATTGGTTGACTCCCACCTGTATTCCTACTGGGACCAGGGATTGAACCTGCAATCCAGCTATATGCTCTTGACCAGGAATTGAACCCTTTGTTCCATGGTCCAACACTTTAATGACTGAGCCAAACTGGTTAGGGCTCAATAATTTTTTATTAAGCACAGAATCAAAACATTCCATGTGGTCAAAGTTATTCAAGGTAAATTGGGTCAAAAGCCGGGTCAACGTGGAGTGATAAAAATGGCATGGTGGTGTGATGAGGGAGCAGGGTGGCATGAGGGAACAGGGTGGCATGATGACAGGATGGTGGGGGTGAGCAACATGGCATGTGTATAGGAAACAGTACCTTCTTCATTTCAGTTATCACAAAGATGTAAGAAGGGGAGCAATGAAATATGACTGGAATTGTCACCCCTTATTCCACATTAGGCATTTATCTCGCTCTGGTTTAATTCAAGTTTGAAGAGTTCTTTTAAGCCCTGTGGGACCTTGTCTCCTACGCTGAAAGGTGGAAAACAGAGTGTACTGTGTCTCCCGTCTAACAAGGAAGCCACAATCCCCTTCATCTCCGTAGAGCCAGTGTCCAGAGTCTATTTCAGATGAGTGAAATTCAAAGAGTTTTGGCCTCAAAACCAAAGAGAGACCCATCGTTATTCACATACTGGGCAAAAGCTGGAGTGGAGTGAGACCTTGAAGCATTTGCTCTGTGTCCCCAGTTCATTGTCATTGAGTTCTGCGTGTTCGTGTATGTGAGAGGTGCGCTGGATGTGTTTGAAGGCGAGTTAGAGAGCTACATTGCCTCCGTGAACCAGACTGGGACCCTGACCCCAGTCATCCTGCAGGTGAAGGAGCTGATAAAAATCTCCAAAGGTAAAGCCAGCCTTGCTCAAGGTTGCCCTTTAACTGGAGGTGGGTCACCCTCTCCCCTCAGCATCCCCCAAAAGTGGCAATTAGAAGTTCAATGAAGTTTTACTAGCATGGAAGCTCCCTCAAATGTATATATGCCATAATTTTCTCTTCCCATTATTCATGGGATTAAGAATATGAATACCAAAGGAGAGGATTGTGTAGGAAATAAAGTTTTTCAAGGGTATGTGTGGCTAAAAATGAAACAGAAATATATAAGCACAGTTTATGTACACAAGAAGTGTGTTAAAGGAAGTATAATGTATTTTACCCAGACCTTTCTGATGTGAGTTTCAGCATTTTGAAAATTAAATGCACATGAACTGTTTCTGGTTCATCTTCAGAGGGCTCTCCTATCATCTTTTCTGTTTCAGGAGTCTGGGTGGTTACCATTTTGCCTGCCTCCCTCACGTGTGTGAGCTATCTGTTCCACATTTTGGCTTGTTACAGGTAAGAGGGCTGAGAGTGTCGTTTGTGTGTCTCCAGCCAGGAAAGCATCTGATAGAATTTTCTAAGGATTCCCAAGCAGTGCCAGCAGTGACTGGGAGTGGAACCAGGAGTGTGTGCAAGGTCCAGGGGTAACCACATCAATTGTTATCGATAGTAAACACACAAACCAAAACTATTGACTTGAGCTTCTACTATGATTGTGCTGGAATCTTTAATTTCACCACAGCCCTGAGGGGTGCTTTCATCTCCATGTTTATAGCCAAGAAAGCTGAGACTCAACAAAATATCTTGCCCAAGCAAGCAATGGCTGATCCTGGCTTCCGCCCCAAACCTTGATATTTTGTGTATACTTGGGCAACTCTCTTGGGTGTCAGACCTGTCCTGCTCTCCAGGACTCATCGCACTGAGCTACCAGCAGATGAATGTGGCTCAAGAAGACAGGGGAAACTGAGTCAAGGAGCCAGGGACCAAGGACCGCCATCAGTGCAGGAGGAGGGGATGACCTTCAGTACTAGCTAGGCACTTGCATGCAGATGGCAGTTGAATGCAAATAGCTCCAGCCTCTCTGTTTCTCTGCCTCTGTCTTTGCCTCTCTCTGTCTGTCTTTCTGTCTCAGTCTCTAACTCACGCTCACAGGAAGCTCAAGGCCATTCTTACCCCCACCTCCGACTATTATGCCTTTGCAACCTCACCATCTGGCTGCCCACGGGGTGAGTCTCTTGCCAACGGCATCCAAAGTAAAGACTCTCCAGGCAGGAAGAGGCCACAGCTTCACTTTCTTCTCCCTGGACCCTGTGGGCGGACTGGATACTGATGTTGTCCTCTGTCCCGACTGATGAGGGGACATGTCTGTTCCTTCCATGCTTAGACTTCAAGTGGTTGGCACATTTTCCCTGAGGCACTTGGTCCCGACCAGGGACAACTGCTGTGCAGAGCAGGCTGCATGGACATGGGCCGAAAGCAACTGAGGGCCCAGGGAAGAGAAGTCTGTGAGCTGGGAAGGCCTCATTCCTGCCCCAGCTGGCTCCCCCACCCATACCTGTCACCTGTCGTAGATGATGGAGCAGAGGGAATAATGGACAAAAAGCACCCTACAACCTGGGAAGCATTGTGCCAGTTTTTTGTGTTTTGTTTTTTTTTAATTTTTCTTAGAATTATTCCAACTTACAAGCTATTTTTTTAAAGTTACAAAAAAAAAAAAAGTATTCAGTGTAAACTAACTCTTCCATTCAGACCTCAATTTATTGCCCCTGAGCTAAACATGGTTTGTATTGCTGGTTGCACACTCTGCTCCAGTGCTGCCAGACAGAAACACAGTGGAAGCCAGAGACGCCATCTTTAATTTTCTAGTAGACACTATTAAGAAAGCAAAAAGGAAGATGCAAATGATTTAATGAAGCGCTTACCCTAACATAACCCAAACACCATCACTTCCCCATGTAATACATGTACAAATTATTAATGAGATGTTTACACTCTGTTTCGTACCAAGTTTTCCCAATCCAGTGGTCACGAAATGACAAAACCACCTGGGAAATGCTGGAGATAGAATGTTAGGGAAAAAGCAGGACCCAGATGTAAATTTGGACCGTGGACTTGACTCTGACAATCTAGTCTTTATGCAAAGGTCCCAGCCTGAGACTAGCATCTGGGAAAACATGCGGTGATTTCTTGGGGTGGTGGCCCCCTTTTCGTTTCCCTTTATGTTGTTATAAGTTGGGAGTATCATTAAAAATGACCTCCTGTTTTTATCTGGTTTAAAGTATTATTACATAAATGATTTATAGTCACTCTAGAAAAAAATACAAAAAAATAGAGCAAAATGAAGAAAATAAAAGCCTTATATACAGTTTCAAATATCGTCATGAAGACTAGGTAACGGTATATTATTTTAATAAAATGTATTAAACTTAAGATTGGTCAGGATAATCAGAACTATTGCATGAACTGTGGTCAATAGTAGGGGCTAAGCTGCCCACCATCTCCCTCCACAGGCCCTTCTGTTTGTACCTGTTGAGCTCTGAATGCATGAGGAGTTGTGGTTATGAACATTACTAATTCCCCGCCTTTTCTCTAGAAAGCACGTGAAGAGGCTGTGGGCAGGAAATAAACACTTTCTCCCTCTGAAGTTCCATAGCCCTTCCTCCTCAGGGAGCGTGGTGAGTCTGTGGAGACCTGCCTCCTGCACCTCGGACAGGGCAGCGTGGTGGTGGTGGGGGGCCCTGGGTGGCGGTCAGAGACCTCGGTTCTGGGATGCTCTGCTGCTGGGTGATGGGACAGTGGCTCCCATCACGGGATTCCTCAGCTGAGAAATGAGGACAGTCAACTGTCTCGGTGAATCTCCAGGGAGACAGGGATGTGTCCAAGGTGATCAAGGTTTTCTCCCCTCTGGGACCCGTTTTCTTTTTAAATCCCAGGCGGCCATTGCAAGGTACTCTGGCTGGCAGATAGCCTACATTTTGTGGGGTAAGTGCCATCCTGTGACCCATTCAGCTCAACACACATTACCTGGGCACCTGCAGAGCCTGGGGTTCGCGGGTAAGGAGGAGAGAGGTGAGGGCAGACATACCCCAAGCTCCTGCCTTTGAGGGACCTTCGGGAAAGAGGGAGAATCTCACGGTCATATGGATCACCATCCCCACCTGTCCTGAGCCCACAGGCTGTGTGTGCCAAAGGCGGGGGTCATCCAGGGAGGAGGTGACTCCACACCCCGGGCAGGGCCTGAGTGCATCCCAGTGGAGTTGACATTTGAACCACGTCTGGCAGGGTGAGCAGAAGCTCAACAGGAAGAAACATGAGGGCGTGCCAGGCAGTAGAAACAGCACCAACAAATGTGCCAATACCTTTGGTGGCAGGAGGATGGATCAGGGCTGCGGACGGGGACACAGGTGACTGGGTCACGAAGGGCCTTGAGTGACCACCGGCTCCCTCGGCCCACAGGCTACCTCGTGATCCACGTGGTGCAGAGCCTGTGTGGCCTGATGATCATGTACAGCCTGGTGTTGCCCATCATCCACAACCAGGGCCTGGAGGTGCTCCGAGGACTGGGCATCGGGATGTAAGTGCTCGGGGGGCTTCCTGGCATTGACCAGGCCTGGGAGCTGGTGGGCCCTCGCAGCTGCTGTTCAAAATGCCCCTCTCCTGCTGAGCTCCCACCACTCCCTGGGACTTCGCGCTTACGTCTGATCAAAGCATGGGCCAAAAGAGCAACAACACACCGCAATAGGAACCTTACCATTTACAAAATATTGCCACTCTCGTTATTCAACGGGGTCCGTCCAGTGGTGTCTGTGACAGATACGCCTATGTCCACTCTGTAGCTGGGGGGATTCAGAGGTGAGAAGGTGACGTGAGAGATAGGACAGTGCAGTGGAAGGAGAGAGGGAATCTGTGCTTGGGTCTTAAATCAGCTACATGACTTGGAAAAGTGGCCTCTCTGAGCCTCCGTTTCCCCAATGGAAGGTAAAAGTGAATGCTGACGTTGAGAATTCACTATGCGCTTTTTCTCCTAAGAAATCTTTGAGGTTGGGCCTTATTTAGCTCCTTCTTTTTTCAGATGAGGAAACAGAGGCACAGGGATGTGAAACAACTTGTCCACTGACAGGGAAGAGGCAAGCCTGGGAGCCCGGCAATCTTAAACCAAAGCCTCGTTTAGCCCCAGCCTCACACTGCCGCTCTGGGGGGTGCAAACACAGGCTGTGTGGTGCTCCCTAGAGACCCCCTGCTTGGAGCTCCTTGCCTCCATACTCACCTGGAGACGCCCAGGAGTCTGGGTCAGAGCCTGCTTTGTCCACTCACATGGCCTTCATAAGCCCCATTCCTTTCCTTGATTCCCATTCTCTTAACCCACTCATCCCAGTCGCCATGCCCCTGGGTCTTGAAGGTCTGGTCTAGAGCTGGAACTCTGACCATGCGGCGTTGAGAAAGTTATCACCCCTTTGGGAGCCCCCGTTTTCTCACTGCAGAACGGACGTGGAATCTCTGTAGTCATAAAGCACAGAGCTCATTGCTACTGCTGGGCTGGTGGGCTGGCGGCACCTCATTGGGCACTTACCACTGGGCATTTGAGAAGGGTGGAGAAGCGTGGACAAGGCCACCTCCGGATGGTCTCACCCTGTGTTTCAGCCTCACCATATCCATCGTCCTGGGCCTCATGATCCTGCAGGTATGCATCGCTGGCAGCTTCTTCCTGCAACCCAAGATGAGCACAGCTGACAAGCAGAAGCCCTTGGCACTCAACAACAGGTGAGGGCAAGGAAGGGGATGGTGGTTATAGGACTTTGGTCTCGGCGACCTCTTATTCCTCTCTCCTCACCGTTGGCAGGTTTGTGGGCAAACTTGACACTCGCTTATAGTGTGAGGAGCTGTGGTCGAGGAGCAGACTCTGGAGCCAGACTCTCTGGTTCCAAATCTTGGCTCCTCACCTTATGAGCTGTGTGACCTTGCATGACCTTGTTAACCATCCATGAATATCAATAATTCTGCATTTGTGTTGTGAGGTTGTAATGTGTTCAAATATGAACTAGAACAATAGTGCTGGCCAATGGTAATCCTTTCTCATTTACTTATTCAGTGCCATTCATGATGAAGGAAATAGCATGGGCACTGAGCATAAAGAGAGAGCCACACAGGACCTGCCTGTGAGAAGCTCAGGGTCCACTGGGACAGTAGACTCCAGACAGAGGGTGTGAAGATCACAAGAGAAACAGGAGTAAGGAGGAGAGGCAGGGAGGTGGAGGAGAAGCAGGGAGGTGGAGCAGAGGCAGGAATGGTTAATCCCACTGTAGGGGGGACGTTGGAGCTGAGGTTGATAGGATGGTGGGACGCCTACAGGCAGAGCTGAGGAGAGGGCATGGCTGGCATCGCCCACTGCACAAGGAAGGCAGGAAGCCATGAAAGGGCAGGATGTGTCAGGAGAACAGGAAGAATCAAACGTGATGGCCATGCAGTGGCCCTGGGTGGTGAAGGGAGGGAGGGGGCTCAATGTGCCAATGCGAGAAAGGCCCATTTCGAGGATGGCCCCGAAATTCAGTATGCAAAGTTTGCACTTATCCCACAGGCAGCAAGAGACCCCATGGCCAAATGGTCATTTGGGAAATTTTATCTGGAGAACTCGGAGCAGTCCCAGCTGGGGGCAGGTCGCTGTTGCAACAAACAATAGGAAAGCCACAGCCTCTGTGTAACCACACAACCAGCTGCGGCCACAAGAGGTTTCTCATTGTTCAGGAAACCTCAGAACCCAAGGATCCCATCAGACACTGCAGCCGCAACTAGCATTCGTTCTGCCCTGTGCTCAGAGCCCTCTACGTTACAGCTGAGCCAGGGCTGGGTGGTGTAGACAGTCAGCTTGGACAATCAGCTCACACGTACAGCACAAGGTCACGCAGCTCGCAGCCAGGAAATGTAGGAGTCGGCCAATGGGCTGGGGCCCCTGAGCCCACCTGCCTGGCCAGCATCTCACGCAAAAACGGTGCCACCCCTCCACCTGCTTCCATTCGCAGGAAAATGTTCCACAACTTCAGCTACTTCCTGTTCTTCTACAACGTGCTTCTGGGCCTGGGCGCCTGCCTCTCCAGGCTTCTCATCAGCTGCATCCTGGGCACGTGGCTGATCGCCCGCATCGACAGGACCATCATGCAGAAGGGCTACGAGGGAGCAGATATGGGTAAGTGGCCAGCTCCACCTCCCACACTCACCCCCAACCCCCTACAGCCACCTGTCGGGGAAGGGCTGGACTCGTACTTTAGCAGAAGCCACCCAGGGTTCCTGCCTCACTTCTGCTCAGAGCTTATCTTCCCAGGGACGCTATAAAGCTGAGTAGAAAAACAAAACAAAACCCAAAACATTCAGCCCAATGAGGAGAAGGAATGCAGGCTATCGAGATCTGCATAGCGGACACAGGTTGAGGTATAAGGGCAGGCAGTGGGAGGTGGCACAATTCTCTCTACATGGTCAGGAGGCGAGTTGTGACTGCACAGCTCTGAACATTCTGAGAAAGGGCCCATTCCAGAATTACTGGTGGTGCTATTTGGAAACTTACTCAGATAAGAAATTAGTCTGTCCGGTTGAAATACTCCAAAGTCAAAACCATTTCTGTAGAGCAAAAAACAGTTTTGTTCTCTTTCTGGCCCGTGTCTGTTCATTAAAGGAGCCCAAGCTCCTCTGAGCCTCAAGTCCCACATTAAATGGACGGATTAGAATGTGATCTGTAAGGGCCCTTTCGGCTCTTCATGCCCAATTTTCTAGATTCTCAGCAAAGACATGGGCACCATTTAGGAGCACAGTGCTGCTGCAGTTATGTCATAAAAAGCGCCCACCAGGCCACCCTGACTTGCCTTCTGGGTTTCAGGGTTCAGGGCATGGGTTGGCATGCTCTACGTGGACCATTATCACACCCACCCCGTGCTCGTCAGCTTCTGCCACATCCTGCTCAGAGGCCTGAGGGAGAGGCAGCTGCAGCAGGCCCTCAGCTATGGGCACCTGTATCAGCCAGCAGGTGAGTCTCCTGTGTGAGCCTTCCCTGTGCTTAGACACCAGGAAACAAGTGCCATAAGGGTTTTCTGGGGTCCCTGTGATGTCTCAGGTTCCCCTTTCTGCCTTTCTTCCTCCACACTCCATGCCTGGAACATCCACTCAGGAGGTCAGGAGGGTTAGCCCCTAGTCGCCTGGCTGTGGGACCCCTGAGGCCTTATGTCCTTGTCCTTCTAGCTGGCTGCTCCCTGTTCTGCTGAGCTCCCTCCCACCCCCCAATTTGTTTGGGACCCCATACATATCCCAGCCTTCAGCCAGATGCCCTCCAAGAGGGCATTTAGCCACCAGCTCCTGCCCCTCAAGGCTCTATACTGTCTACTCCCACCTCTCCCACCTTATTTATTCCTCTGCTCTGCCTTCTGCTGGGAAGCCCTAGGTAACCTTGTCTTGTCACAGATTTCTCCTAAGAAATCTTTGAGGTTGGGCCTCATTTAGCTCCCTCTTTTTACAGATGAGGAAACAGAGGCACAGGGATGTGAAACAACTTGTCCACTGACAGGGAAGAGGCAAGCCTGGGAGCCTGGCGATCTTAAACCAAAGCCTCATTTAGCCCCAGCCTCACACTGCCGCTCTGGGGGTGCAAACACAGGCTGTGTGGTGCTCCCTAGAGACCCCCTGCTTGGAGCTACTTGCCTCCATACTCACCTGGAGACGCCCAAGAGTCTGGGTCAGAGCCTGCCTTGTCTACTCACATGGCCTTCATAAGCCCCATTCCTTATGAACTGTGCTCATCACTGTTCCCAGCCCTGTGCTTACCCAGCTCTGTGGGATAAATGCGTCCTTCCACTCACCCTCACGTCCCCTCACGCCTGCTCCAGCTCCTTCCTCCCCTGCATCCCACACCTCACACCGCCCAGGCAGCTTTTCTTACAGACTCTGAGAAGCACAGAGACATCTCCCCCGTCCCCCGCCCCCAGTCTACCCGCTCCGATTCTATCCTAGGTCCCCGCACCTCGGCGAGGCCCAGGACGAGGTGGCGCCTGCTGCAGACCCTGATCAACAACCCCAGGCTGCTCATGCTCAGAAAGTCAAAACCAGGTCCCGGCTCCCAGGAGTTTACCCAGATCCTGCTGACGTGCTCGAAGAGCTGATGTGGCCTCCGCCACCGCTCCTCTCCACGCCAGGACGACTGCGGCTGCTGCTGAGACGAGGCCCCGGCTACCCAGCAGCTGCCCCAGAGCGACGGGACGCCCAGCCCCTGTCCACACAGATGGCGCATGGCGCCGGCTCCTCAAGATAGCATCTGGGCTGAACAGTGCAGTCTCAGGTCTCATTCACACCTTTGGTAAAAGGATCAAGAACTAAAGAGAAACTCTATTGAACAGACTTTGTCCAGTCATCATTTCTACTGCCCATGGTTGGAGACGGCCTTGGGCAGTTCCATGTTGAGACGCTGTGGAATCCCTTAACACAACCCGCATGGTTCAGGGCCCACTCAGGGTCCGGTTTCTGGAGGAGGCCGTACCCTAAAATGAAGAGATTGGAAAAGAATCAATTTGGGGAAATGGGGGCCAGGCGGGAAGTCCACCCCTAGTGGGAAGACTAACCCCTGCTCTGGCCTTTTACCATTCCTTTTACTGAGATTCCGAGACAAAGATATCTCTTAGGCGGGAAATTCCAACAACAGAAAATCAACAAGACTTTACATTTACATATGATTAACAAATTAAAGTTGCCTCGGCCACCACTATCTCAACTAGAGATGAGTTAATAGCTCCGACCATTCAGAGCCATCAAGGTTGGCCAGCTCTTTCTATTATACATTTCATTACCCGTGACAATGTTAGGTTTAGGTTCCTAGCAAGACGCACTTAGTGTGACCACAGGGCAAAACTTGGTGTCAGGAAAGAAGGTGGTAACATTTCTGTATCAGGATAGTTCAACTGTCTGATAGATTTTCTCTGGGAGAAAGGACGGCCTTAATTCAACAGGTTCTTCACTGCGTCCTCCTTTCCAGGCCTTACCGTGGTGAGAGAGAAGGAAATCCGTGGCCCAGCCTACCGTCTAGTAGGGGGAGCAGGCACACTGAGCTCTCTGCTCTCCCTGCCGGGACGGCTGGGCGTGGGTCACAAAGATGCACAAGTTCTCTCTGGCAAGGGGGATCCCCTGGGAAAGCCACCTGCCTGAGGAGGCAGAGGTGGGTGGCAGGCTTTCCCGGTGGGGGACGAGAAGAGCAGAGACGTGGGAGCAGGAAATGTCCAGGCGAGTCTGAGAAGGGTGAGCCTCCACCGAGGCCCAGATGCCACGCCCGAAGCCTGGACATTCCTCTCTGTGCAGAGGGCCGGGACTTACCCAGATCCTTCACACCCGGGCGTGAGGTCTCTGGTGGCCTGGGGTCTGCACAGAGTCTGACCGTTCACAGTGGAGGTGGCAGGAGGACTCCCAACAGGGGGAGGGAGGTCCCTGTCCGCCTCCCAGAGCCATTGAGCTCCAGGAATCATTACTGAGCACCCACTGTGAACTCAGGCCTGTTACTAGGTATTGGCCGGACTTATCTCTAATTTAATCCCACCACTGAGTTTTGCCATTCTGCTCTTAGAAACTGGGAAAACGGGGCGGGCGCTCGGGCTGCTGGGATCCCCACACCATCACTTCTTAGTTGTGTGGCATTTTCCTGTGCCTCCTTTCTCTCACATAGAAAAGGGGCTAATACTTATAACACCCAAAATTATTTGGGGGATAAAGTGAGTGAATACTAACACTCCTAAGCTAGCGCCTGATAAACACCTGACATGTTATACTCGGTGATGATCTGATTAACGCGCTGCTCCGTGAAGAAAGGTCGGCTGTGGCCTCCCCTGAGGTAGCTGCCTTGCAGATTACCACTGACTCCTCAGGATCGGCACCCACCAGCGCTCGTTGCTCTAGGCCTGTTGGTAGACTTGCACCCAGAAGTCACCTTGGTGAGTGAGGGAGAATGTGAGGGCTTTCCATGGCCAAGTACATGGACCCTTATCCGGGCAAAGCAGAGCTCATCCGTCAGGTCCCAGCCAGGTCTCAGCCACAATGTCCCCAAGAGAGATTTTCCTGGGGGATTTCTAAGAGAGAAATCCCCTAGGGGATTTCTAAGATGTGCAAGGAGGCCAGACATCTTAGTTCACAGGTAGCTACATGCTTATGGAATGAGGTCTTACAAGGTGCATTACACATCTCTCCCCTGACTAGGAAACAAGCAGGAAAAGGAATTCAGAGATCCTGAACGAGGATGCCGGGGGTGCATATCTAGATCAAGGCTGATTATTGACTCTTGGGGACTCAGGGGGGAGTCTGCCCTTTAGTTCATTTGCAAGTTATCTTCCTCTGGCCTTGCTCCTTCCACCTGCAGTGTTCAATCTCTTCACATTTCTTTCCCTACTTAGTGCTGATGCAATTCCAGAGGTGGAACTAGAAAACCACAAGTTCCTAATATTTGGCCAAGAGAAACCTCAGCCAGAGGCAAAGAACGTGTTCCCTCTTCCTTCAACATTATAGAAAAGAAGCCGCTGTCCAGGCAAGTGTTATTTTTAAAGATGCCCAATGTCAGTGGTGGTTGCTATGCCTGCAAAGAATTTCCACCTCTGAATCCCAGGAGTTCTGCGGGGCTGTTGCTGCTCCTTGTTCACGATAATGAAATGAATGTGTTCTCTGAGGAAGGGGAGGGCCTCCCTCATAGCCAGGGAAGGGGCTGGCCCTTCTCCCTTCTCCCATATACAATACGCTGATGGCCCTGCGAGATACTGTAAAGGAGGAATGTGAGAATCTGAATCTAATCTAAGTTATCACAGGAAGCCAAAGAACTAAACCTCAGCTCTCAGCTGTGAAAGAAAGTGGGATTTAATAATGTTGAGAACAGCACTCTGGGAAGGAATTCTGCCAGTCTGAGAAGAAAAGCCTATTGCTAAACCTAGAAGGCTCCCTTACCAGGGTGCTGTTCTCAGAATGTCCACAAGAGGGCGAGATGGCAACACCTCCCAGCAAGGAGGAGAACCCTCTGGGACTGTGAATTGGTGTTCTTTTCCTGCTGGATAGAAAAGTGGGGTTACCTTAGGAGGCACCCCCCCCCACACGGGCTCCTGGCCCACCTTCACCACCCTGTCCCCACTCATTCTGACTCAGACACTGTGCTGAGTGCTTGATCAGTCCGTACCCCATTTGTCCCTGCCACGTGAGGGATCATTTAGCATCACCCATTTCACAGTTGAGAAAACTGAGTCCTAGAAAGTGGAGGGGGCCCACCTCAGGCACAGGATTGGTCAGTAGCTGGGATCTGACGCCTCAAGAGCACATTTGGCCCAGAGCTTTATGGAGCCCTTGGGATTCAGCCGCTGTCAGCCTGGACACTCACCCCTGGGCTCCCTGGTGGCCAGTTCCTCTGGGCCTTGAGGGTTCTGTTGGCTGATTAGGACTGGGGCTCCTGCTGGCAGGACAGGTGGTAGCTACAGGACAGAGCAGCACCTGTGACCATACCAGGAGCCACACCTCAGGTGCTCCTCCCAGGGTCTGCCCAGGAGCTGGATGCAGGTGCCCAGGATGGCCTTGCAACAAGGTCTGAAACTGATAAGGAAGCCATGGCCACCAGGGAGAGTCTGTACCTGCCCTCAGCTAACTCCTCCCGCCCAGCCTTTCCTCTCATTCTGCTGAGCTGCTCCGTGTCCCGGAGCCAGGCCCCAACTCGCTCCTCAGGCTCAGGACTGTCATGGTTTGCAGCCCCTGCAGCAGCAGATCTCTCTCATCACTTTGTATTCGGGGACAGAGAGAAGGACAGGCTGCAGATAGGGCATGGTGGGGGGTGCTGCAGGGGCCTTAGGAGTGAGGAGTGAGGCAGGGGCCAGTCCCGGGCCTCTGCACACATGGGAAGCCTCCTTCCCTCCAATTCCACCCACGTCCTAACTGTCCTCAGGATGGGTGTGAAGAGCCCCTCTTCCAGCAAGTTGTCCTTGATACCAGCCCCTACTTCTCTCTTATCAATAAATGTGAGACGCAGGCGATGGAGCAAGGAGTGTCCTGCCCAGGGGGAGTTCCACCTCCCTCCCCTCCCCACAGTGAGTGCCACAGCTACTCACCTTACTCTTGTTCTGGAGGTTGATCTGATTCCCTGGGAGGCAAACAGCCAAAGTCCATCAGGAAGAGCCTCCTAGCTAGTCCCTAACTAGTCCCCATCTTCATGCTCTCTCATGTTGCAGTATCACAAGAGCCCTCAAGGGGGCAGGGCACACACAGAAAGCAGGTTTGGGACATAGGCCAGACTCTGGGCTCCAAAGTTGAGGGGATGAGGGAGCCTGTCTTTCTGAGACAGGTGGGGGAACTGAGGCCGCCCGACAACTCGGGACAACTTATGTGCCGCCCGACTTGGAGGAACCTGACACCTCCCTCCACGTGGGCACCACGTGAGGGAGAGACTGAGTCCATCTGGGACAAAACCTCCTGCACCTTTGCCTTCAGGCAGCTCTGCTGCTTCACCAGCCTGGGGAACTAGGGTGGGTGTCTGTGGGGAGCCTTCGTTCATTCGTCCCAAGATGGGCATGAGGCCCCAGCTCACACAGGTGGCCGAGAGGCTCTCCAGTACAGGGGAGGAAGGGGTTGCTCTCTCCTACCAAGTCTCAGGATCCTGGTGCCCGCTCTCCTGCCCCAGACTAACCTCCAGCTAATCCTCCATCACTGAGTCCAGCGTCACCAGGTCAGCGAGGAACGTGCCAAGGGCCACTGGAGTGGGAATGGTGATGAGCCCCAACTTTCAGGGGCTGCCCTGACACCCTCCCCTGGAAACTCCTCACCCTCAGCTCCTGGCCACCCCAGGGTTCCCATATGGAGCAGCCCCACCCTCCCCCCCCCCAAACTCCCTCCCTCGCCCTCCAAGAACACCAGATTGCTCCTCATCACCACCCAGGGCCTGCTTTTGGCAAATCACAGGATCTGTGGTCCCAGGTCCCTTCCTACCCCCAAATCCATCCTGCACCCACCCAGCTCTCTAGGCCCCCTCCTACGTGTCACTCTGAGGGAGGGTTCAGGCACTGAGGGAGGCAGGGCTGTGAGAGGAAGGACCCTTGTAAGGCCTCCAGCTGGGAGGGAGGAGCCCCTCTCCTCTGGCCCTGGAGCCCCGCCCCCACAGGCA